GTTGACCACCACGCGGTTTCTTCCAACCTGGAGCCGCAATTGCGAATAAGGTGCTGTGCCGCAGACGGTGGCTGGACATGCGCAATACGTGTCCTAACCAGCGAAGCCGACTAATCTGAATTGGATGGGACAACGAATTTTCCATCGAATCATTACCAGATATACGAGGCCTCACCTNGAACTCCATAAGGCCCCGATAGGTTAGGCGTGGTATTGAACAAGCTCGCTCCATCCAACCCGAACCAAACTACGTAAACATCTGCAGTCGAATACTTCAAGACGGCGAATCTATTCCACGCCCAAATTTAGGGCCTCGCAACCATAGAGCAGAACTGGCCGCACACGGACCTTCCAGTTTCAACGAAACATCGCGTCTACACCAAAGATGTTTCAATCCTGCGTAAGCTGCTCGAGCCTTGGAAATGCGGGCGGTTACTTCATTGACTATGATACCGTCATTTGAAACGCAGCTACCTAAGTAGGTGAAACATTCCAATACAGCTAATTCTTGACCATCAAGCATCAGCGAAGAGGTAGACGACACTCGGTCTTGTAGCATCACTTTGCATATATATGTCAAACAAGACCACGAACATCAACCGGTGCTCCTGAAACTTGGTTATGTGATGAACTGCGGTGCGTCCTGGAAGAAAAAACGGACAACAATTTTACTATCTGCTGCACTATACGTTGCAGTATATTCTCGAAATTTTACATGGATGCCTTAAATAAATCGACTCGTCCTTACGAACAAGGAATCTATTCAGGGTAATTCAAATAAGACGGAAAGTAGGATTGGAGAAAAGCAAGCATAACTGGCGTTATCAAATCAGAGCCTGAAGATACTTCCATCGACCACAAAAAAATTAAACCTTTATATACTCGTACCGCAGCTTTTCACAATTTCGTTTCACCTAACCGTTCACGTTTGTTTGTGTCCAGAGAACGAATATCATGCCATGCCATAGTGTTCTGCACTCGATACGCATTGAAGTCTTGAAGTCACTCTCGGGTTCAAGGCTGGCGCCCTATGGTCCCGGATCCCGATTGATACTCAATACCGCGTTCAACCCCGCGGGGCCTTATGTAGTTCGCCACTCCAAGTCCTGCGGGTTAGGTTACCGGTTTCAATGACGGAGCAGAAGGTCGTCGTGATTAAGGGGTTCACCCAGTCTGCTGTCCAACACACAAATGTGTGTAATAAAAAATACTACTTTTCATAACCTTAAATTCATTTTACCGGCATGTGTGCCAGAACAAAAGTGCCAACTTTTTTTTACCTAAAATTCTATTCACATTGGATGAACAAAATGCACTTCTGACTTCACTTACACCGCCGCGTACTTCTTTGCGGAACATTTGTCCAAGACGATAGAGATAACCTAATTGCATCGACCGTTGCTAGGTTGGTTAAATTTTATCGTTGGTGGCCATTGGCATTCAGCTAATCCGTACAGCTCAGATCAACATTACTAGAAGATAAATAAGTTCACAAATTGAGCAATAAAGGAAAATGATTTTTCAGTTCAGTCAGATTGTTTTCCTCTAAATCCCTTAGAAAGGTGCACATACTCAGTGAAATGTAAGGTAAAAAAACATGAAACTGCTAGTATAAATTTACAATGGGACATATATAAAGTATGTATTACACATTTGTTATTGAAAAACACATACCATCTTCAAACAAAGACCTTAAATTAGTTAACTCCATCTCCACCGCCTCGAACGAACTCTCTGCAGCTTTTTCGTAATCATCCAACTTTCCTTTGATCTTGGCATTCTCGTTTATGAGGTTCAATACCTTATTCGCATTTTGGCCTTCGGCCTTGGATTGCATAGCGCAAAATTTGGAGCGCGCGCCCCAGGACAGTTCAGTTCAGTGCAGTTTGCACAGGACAGAAAATGGCCACGGCCCATCCAGCGTCCAGAATTATTCGGTGGTATGCTCATAGGGTGTGCACCCACCACTGCGAATCGCCTTCAGTACAGCGTTTTTGCTGAAAAGGAAGGGAAAAATCTCGCCTCTCTTCACCACATCGGCGAACAAAGGACATGGGTCATGAAGGCGTTCCATAATACATTAAACATCTGATTATGGAAAGAGCTCTAACGATCGCTCATTCAGGGTGAGCTTAAATGCAGTCATGCTTCCAAAATCTACTAGTTCTTTTGGCAACTGGTTCCAACTGTTCACTACTCTGTCGCCGAAGAAGCTGGATTTAACAACCAGGTTTCACCGCTGCTTATTTGTTTTGTACCCATTCCCTCTAGTTCCTTGGTGAATAACCTCCTGGAATAGGCTTTTTTCTTACTCGCGAGAGCTAGCCTGCAACCCTAAAGGTCTCCAGTTAGTCTCCCCTTCGCCTCCTTTCTAGCGAGAAGAGTCCCAAGTCTTTTAGCCCGTCTTGGTATGACTTACCGTTTGACCTTCAATCATTCGGGTGGCTATTCTTTGGATCTTCCCTAAACAGGCTGCATCTTTTTTGAAGAAGGGTACCCAGGCCTGCACGCAGTATTCCAATTGCGACCTAACTATGACTTTGTACAGAGGGAGGACTACGCGGGGTTTCCTATACGATAGTACCGACTTGAGACTTAACCTTGACCTTGCGCGCGCG